GTTAGGAAGAGGAGCCCAGAACACAACATTCCGGGTCTCATCCCTGGTGACTGCCTCACCGGGCCCCACCCTAGCAGCAAGGCAGCTCTGAACTCGGGCGGTGGACCCTTCCACTGAGGACTGCGGCGCCCCCGCGGTCCACTCTCCTTCCAGAGGCCCTGCGTCTGAACACTGGGGGTTCAGGGGACACTAGATCTAAGCGGCAGTGATCAGTATTGGCAAATGGCAAAGAGGCCAGCAGTCACCGTACAGTACAGAAAAGTAACAAGAGGGATAGCGTGGCTCAGCGTTTTCTGTCTGTAATTCAGCAGATCCTAAAAATTAGGTTTCTAATCCCCCTCGGGCCCCACGGCACCGCTCCTGCCTTGATATTAAACAGACCTTTTGAGAACGCAGCCAGAGCAGGCATTCTGGGTTAGATTTGTTCTACACAGAGGCAATTTATTTAATTGTTAAATGAGTAAAATATGCAGCAGTTCAGTCTTGCGTGATACATGTGTAGTAGCATTTAAACCATAAATTCAAATAATTATGTTTTAAAATAATGACATAATAACACATTTGTTTTTTATTTCCTAATAAAACTCACTGTTAAATTAATTAGTTTCAAAATAGGCAATTATAAAAAAGGAAAGAGTGAAGCTGTTGAAAGCACATTGCTTCTCAGAGAAAGGTTAATTCGTAAAACACAGCTCATTATTTTTGAAATGTTTATTTATTTATTTTATTTTAATTATATTTAAATGACATTTGAATTATAATGATCATTTTTGGAAGAAAGTACAAGTGAAGTTTCACAGGGTGATTTTCTTCAGAACTGTATTAGTTGCTCATAAAATGCTTTTCAAACGTTTTGATTTTTAGTGTCGTGGATGAACTTAGAAATAAAGAGCATTATGCAGCCGTTAAAATCCAGAGTTGGTTTCGGGGCTGTCGGGTCCGGGCATATATCAGGTATGGTGATCTTTGTTGTGGAGACCTTATGTATATCATAAAAGTGCTGTTCTCAGAAATATAATTTATTCATGTTATTATTTCAAATAATCTTTTATTTTACTCCCAAGGAAGGTGTTAGATTATATCATATCCTTTAAAGGAAGTACACAGTAAATCGAATTATTTTCTTACCAAATATTTACACTATCTTTACTTTTAATAAATCTTAAGTATACAGGTAAAATTACTTGATCGAGTTCTTTTTTCCCAAATTCTATAGGAGATAATAAATGACTGAGCTTTTATTTATAGCTAAAAAGTCACTGATAGGTAGCACGGGTCAGAGGAGCCATTCCCACCCTACCATGGTGGCAGGTCACAATTAACGATGGCCAAGCGATGTCATTTAGATTAGGGCAAAAGAGTAAGAGGTTTCCCTTTCTTCATTCATCCCGCTTTTTCGTTTATCCCAAACTTTCTCTCAGTCTCCCTTTTATTCTGAAGAGAAGATAGTCCTGCAAAAAGCAGAGGGAAGGACATGCTTGATGCATAATGATTCGGAAAACAAGCTGAGGGTTACATTTTATAACTTTGTTACCGTCTCCGGAGGAAGCCAGCCGGGACAGTTTCAGGTGTGCAGAGGAGGCTTCCTTTCGGCCACAGCGAAGGGTAGGAAGACGGCAGGGAACGTGTGGTTAAGTCAGCAGACTAACACAGTGTGGGTTTGGCACACGAAGTACTACAAGGTAACAATGAGGAGGGAAGTTATTTCCTGACCTCTAGAGTTACTTCTAAGTAATTGTTATGATTTGCATCCATCATAATATTGAATGTTAGAAGGATAGCACAGGTTAGAATGGTATTCAAACCTAGTCTTAAACCAGGTGTGCTGGTGTGCATATGTAATCCCAGCCCTCCGGAGGCTGAAGCAGGAGATCACTGTGAAGTTCACCTTTTCTCGAAAAAAGCAGAGAAAAACAAAATAAAACTTTTTAAGAATAAATGATACGGAATAATTGAAATTATTGTTTAATTATAAGCCCAAAAGAAGTAGAGTGGCTATGTATGCCTTTTTTACTCCTTCTAGAAAACATTCCTCTCTGATAGAATAGTAACTTCTGGCTTTTTAAAAGTGTGCATAAAGTTAGCTTTGATTTCAATCTCTTGAGTTGTAGAAGATTATATTCTAAACAAACAGTTCAGGAACATTCCCGAGCTAGGTGCAGTGAACCAAGTCTGTAATCCCAGATATTCTGGGCAAGAGGTTCATAAATTCAAGGCCAGCCAGGGCATTTAGTGACACCTAGTTTCAAAATAATACTAATATTACTACTACTAATAATAATAATGAAAAGAGCTTGGAATGTAGCTTAGTGGTAGAACACTTGCCTACCAGATTGAATGCTATCAGTTTCTGATAAAGGAAAAACAGAGACATTTCTATTTCAATGAATGCATACTAATACACATTTTTTATCCTAGGTATTTAAACAGAGTAGCAATAATTATTCAAAAATGGTGGAGAGGTTACTTAAGCAGAAAAGTCTATCGACTTACCGTGGAGGTAAGTATAAGATGTATATGCACCTGTCACCATTTGAGTCATAGGACATGGAATGTATTAACCCCAGTTGTGTTCACAGGCAATAACGGAATTACTGATGATAAATGTTTGTCTAAGAACAGCTTTTGGCCTAATTTTTTGATAAGGGACCACTGCTGAGAAGCCTCCCTGATTTTTCCATTGGCAATTGACTGATTTGGTTTTATTTTTTCTTTTTAAAGAGGGTACAATTAAACAGAACAAAATAGATCATAAGATAACAATGTAAGAGACACAGATTTCAAAGCAAGACAACAGGAGATCTTCACTGCCTATCATATTGTCTCTTGTTTTCTTCCAAATCATTGTCCATATATTCACATACAGTGAATTCGTACTGAACAAAATAGTATTAAACTGATCAGAACAGGATGATGAAGGCATTTTAGACCTTCAAGACCAGACAATAAGGAAGTCAACAATGGGTGTCATAATGTCTCTCATTCTCTTCAAAAGAGCTGTCCATACCTTCATGTATGTTGAAATTAAGCAAAACAAAACAGACCAAAATCACTTTGAACAAAGAATAATAGTATTGCTGGATTTCACATTATGATTGTACAGAATCAGCGCAGGGTAACTTAGTGTCTCTTTTTCTTCAAAGAGAATGCTTTTCATTTCATCATGCATTATATTATCTATTATCATAAACTTTTTAGAAGTTCTATGCATGCATGGGTTTCTACTTGTATACTTATCCTTTCTGTATTAGAAGGAAAAACAAAACAAACCAAGACAAAACAAATTCCTAGAAAAATATGAATTGAAAAAGACATATAAACAACAATAGCAAAAATCCCAGAACACGGACAATACAGGCCTTCAAAACAAGGTGGTGTGAGCATAACTAGGGTTGTTATTTTACATAATGATCTTCAAGAGTTCCTCATCACCATACAATAATATGCACAATTGTTCCAACCCTTAGAGTGTTAGCTATTTTGTTCCAAGAACTTACAGAGTTTGTAGCGCAATCATCTTAGCGACCTATGTGTTTGTATAATTCTAGACATTTTTTCTTTTTTTTATTTCCCTGAGATATTATTTTTCCCCTTTAATCAGACTCTTAACTTTTCACTGTAATTATTGAGTTTTTTGTATCTTATGGTCTCTTACCATTTCTTACATTAGAGAGACTATACGGTATTTATACATGTGAGTTTGATTTATTTTACTTATGAGTATGGTCTTGAGTTGCATCCATTTACTTGTAAATATCTCAGTGTGATCATTCTTTATAGCTGAGTAGTACTCCATTGTATAAAAATACCACGTCTTTTTTTATCCATTCCTCAGTTGAAAGTCATTTAGGTTGTTTCCAAGATCTAGCTATTACAAATTGTGCTTCTGGAAACATGGATGTGCTAATGTCACTTTGATATCATTTCATTTCTTCTGGGAATATGCCCAGAAGTGGAATAGCTGGGTCAAATGGCACTTCCAAACCCAGCCTTTTAAGGGATCTTCAGACTGACATCCACAGTGGTTGCACCAGTCTATACTCCCACCAACAGTGCAGGAAAGTTCCGTTTTCCCCACAGCCTCTCCAGCATTTGTTGTTGGTAGTATTCTTGATCCTAGCCATTATTTCTGGAGTGAGATGAAATCTCAGTGTTGTTTTAATTTGCATTTTTCTAAGGACTAATGATGATGAACATTTTTTCATGTATTTATTGGTCATTTGTATTTCTTCATCTGAGAACTGTGTATTCATCTCAGATGCCCATTTTTGGAATGGGTCTGAATTTTGGGGATCTGATTTTTTTTAAGTCTATGTGTTCTGGACAGAAGTCCTTTGTCTGACAGGCTGTTCACTAAGATTTTTTTCCCCAGTTTGTGGGAAAAAATTTTCTTTTGGCTATGTTGGAGATTTCTTTCGACATGCAGAAACTCTTTAATAGGATGCTATCCCCGTTGTTTCTGTGAAGTATTTCACATGCAGTTTGATTCTTGCTCATGAATTCTCTACCTACCCCTATGTCTTCAAGATTTCTACCTACTTTGTCTTCCAAAAAATTTAGTTTTTCTGTTTCAATATTTAGATCTTTGATCCGTTTAGAGTTTAGTTTAGTACCTGGTGATAGGCATGGGTCTAATTTTAGTTTTTGGCATATGGAGAGCCACTTTTTACAGCACCATTTATTAAAGAGACTATCTTTCTTCCAGTGGACATGTTTGGCTCAAAGATAAGGTGGCTGAGTGTGTTTGTAGTTGTAGTTGTATCTTCTAATCTATTCCATTGATCTTTTTATTCTAGTACTATGCTGATTTTATTACAGTAGCTTTGTAGTATAACTTCAAGTCAGGGATTGTGATGCCTTCTGCCATGCCTTTGGTGCTTAGAATTGCCTTGTTATTCTGGGTCTCTTCTGATTCCAGATGAATTTTAGGAGTGATTTCTCCAGATCTTTGAGGTATGCTAGTGGTATTTTGATTGGGATTGCATTAAATCTGTACAATAATTTTGAGAGAGTGGCCATTTTCACAATATTTGTTCGTCCTATCCATGAACAAGGGATGTCTTTCCGTTTTCTGAGGTCCTCTTCAATTTATTTTTTCAGGATATTTTCCCTGAATATATCTTTTACTTCTTTTGTTAGATTAAGTATTTCATTTTGTTGAATGCTATTGTAAAGGATGTGGCTTCTCTTTTTTCTCTCTCAGTAATTTTATTATTAGTGTATAGAAGTGCTTTTGATTTTTGAATGTTGACTTTGTATGCAGCTACATTACTGAATTTATTTATTATACCTAGGAGTCTTTCAATGGAGTTTTGGGGGTCTTTTAGGTAGAGTATCATGTCATTCTGCAAATAATGATAGTTTAACTTACTCTTTTCCTATCCCTACTACTTTTATATCTCTCTCTTGTCTAATAGCTCTGGCTAGTATTTCCAGCACTATATTGAATAGGAATGGTGATAATACACACCTTTGTCTTGTTCCTGAAGCTGGGAAACCAAGCAACCAGCCTGCCTCCCTGCTAAGCAATAATGAACCTACTGGTGCATGGCCTAGAGTCAAACATCCCATTTCCCTTACCCTCCTTCTCCTGTCCCCCCGTTAGCAAATGGGAACCAGAAATCTGGGCATCTTTTGCGAGGCTGACCATAGCAAATAAGGGGGACTTCCTTCTACCATCTCTTTGAAGGCAAATATTTTTATTACTGTTTTGCTCTATTCTGATTAATGATACTGCTCTTTTCAATACTCTGTCTGATAAGTTGTATAATGTTGTATAATTTCATTTTATCTTCCTATATGTGATTGAAAGAACAACTATTGTAAAGATAACGAAATATACTGTGATACCTATTACTGTCATCCCAGTAACCTGCTATGAAGTTCTGTACCAATTTCACTGTACAATTTTAGTTGGCTTTATTCTGTCTTGTTCTGTTTAATACTTTCAAAATAAAATTTAAAACAAAAGATCTTTCCTTTCCTGTTACTAGCTGCAATCTTGTTTTTCCAGGTCTGAAATTCTATCTTCACTTTCATTGAGGCGTGTCATGGTTTATGTTTGTGTCCCCCAGGCCTCATGAGTTTGCATTGTTCATTTGTGATGGTTCATTGTATAGTGCTTGGATTGATGGTTCAGTGCTCCACCCACATAGGGGTGGAGCCAGGATGTGATGTAATGGCAGGAAGAAGGTGTGTCTTTCTCTTTGCTGGTTGGAGCTCGCTGTGGGCGGCTGCCATGAAATGCAGCCCAGCCGTGCCTGCCTGCCTTGGAGCCAAGTGAGTGTGGACTGAAACCTCCAAAAACTGTAAGAAATAAACCCTTCCTTTCCCAACTTGGGCATCAGGTATTTTGTCTCAGCAACGAGTAAAAAGTAACTAAGACAAGGCGGTTTTGCTAGCTTTCGGTGGAATTTTTGATTTCCTGTATATCCTCTGTATATTTCCTGTATATCTCTTTGAATCTGCTTTATGCATTGTTTGTTTCTTATATTGTTCATTCAGAGTTTCCATCTTTTTGCATTGTTCCTCTAATTTTTTAACTATGTCGTCTTTAGATGTGTTTGGTATTTCTTTCGTTACATTTATCGTTTCTTCTTTTGCCTGGGAGACTGTTTCTGATTTGAGTTCTTATACAGCTTTCTGGAGTTGTTGCTTTACTTCAGTTAATATCATTTCAGGCATTTAAGGTATATGGCTTATATTTTCTTCTGTGTCCATGCCTTCTAGTCTTGCTTGGGTTGGGCTGGAAGTTTGAGATTGCATTTTGCTCTTTCATTTTGTCATTGGCCTATATTTCCGGGTTTTGAGCTTCTCCCATGTGCTGAGATTCACCTGGCCCATTTTTGGCTCCTGGCAGAGGCAGTAGGCAATAACTAGCTGTTTGGAGTTCACTGGGCATGAGCCAGTGAGCCCTGTGCGGCCTCCTGTGATTTCAGATGCAGGGTGTGGTCTTACCACCGGGAGCGACGTTCCAAGGCTTCCCAGTGTACTGGGTTTCAACCCGTCCATGCTCTGGGCCCAGGACTCAATTTGGGCCCCTGCCAGCTGCTTGGGGTTCACTGGGCATGGCCCAGATAGGCCTGCTTGGACCTCCGGTGCATCCATGGGTGATTTCAGATGCGGGGCATGGTCTTACCGCCTGAGAACAAAGTTCCAAGGTTCCTTGTGTGCTGGGTTTCAACCCACGCACACTTTGGCCTGGAACTCAATTCAGGCCCCTGCCAGCTGCCTTCTTTTTTCTTATTTTATTCATTATAGTTCTAGTGACATTTCAGCTCACTTAAAAGTAATTTTTAAATGTTGAAATAATTTCAGCCTTATAGAAAACTTTTAAAAATATTATAAAGAACTGTCATATGCTGGTCAGTTGGATCTCTAACCCACATCACATTTTCTTGTTTTCTCTCTTTAATACATGTATTTCTCTATGTACATATCTTTGAATCATGTAAGACAAACTTTGAGAAGCAATGCACTCTTACCTCTGAATATGACTGC